TTATATATATATATATATAAGATAATATTGTATCATAAATTTAGAATATTACAATTCTCCCCTACTTATAGAAATTTCGTCGTCGAAATTTTTATTGCTTAGAAATAAATAAGGATAGTTTTCCTTGATTTTCTCTTCCAATTCCCACGTAGCATTTCCAATAACATCATTCCAGATGACCTTTACCAGTGAAATTTGTTTGCCTCTTAAATGAATATGTAATAATTTGATATGCATGAGATCTAGCTCTGGTCACTGGGCCCTTGGCCCATGGTCTATCACCTGAGGTTCAGACTCGACCTCGAATTGAAGTGGCGTGAGTTGTACGAAGGTTCGGATTCGACCTTGTATTTTTGTTAAGTAACACATTGCGAAGGTTTGAACTCGACCTTAATCATGCCGAGGTTCGAACTCGATCTCATATTAGTGTATTAGGGTTCGTACTCGACCTTAAATCAGAGTAAAATGGATCATGCCAAGGTTCAGACTCGACCTCGAATTGAAGTGGCGTGAGTTGTACGGAGGTTCGGATTCGACCTTGTATTTTTGTTAAGTAACACATTGCGAAGGTTTGAACTCGACCTTAATCATGCCGAGGTTCGAACTCGACCTCAGATTCAGCATAAACCATAAAATAATGTGAAAATAACATGAGTTGAATAGAATGAGTTTGTTTTATTGATAATTTCATTGTGCCTCGTTAAAAACCCTCTCAGCCAAAACCCATTTTTCTGTTTTTTGGGACAAAAGACTGAGGTGGGAAAAGAGTGCACAGCTCATTCATACAAAATTTAGCTGAAATAGAACTTGAGATGCGTAGCGTTCCAAGTCCGCGATATGGGCTTTCCGCTAAGTTCTTCCAGCCTATACGCTCCATTTTCCAAGTCTTTTGTAACTCATGGGCCACCCCAAGTAGGTGCAAGCTTCCCATCTGACGTGTCCTTCCGGGCTTCGCCTAGCAATCGCCACACCAAGTCACCAATTCGGAAAGAACGAGGTCGTACCCGGGTGTTGTATCTTCGGGAAGCTCAGAGGGTGCATGCTTCTTCGTGGATTTGAGCTTTGTCTCTAAGCTTGTCCACCAAGTCGAGGTTAGCTGCCAACTCTTGAGCGTTCTGCTTGCTATCAAAAACCTGCCGTCGATGGGACGTCACTTCGACTTCTACTGGGATCATTGCATCGACTCCATAAGTTAGCCTATAGGGTGTTTCTTGCGTGGTTGATTGGGGGGTGCAATGATACGCCTAGAGGATGCTGGGAAGTTCGTCGGGCCATTGTCCCTTGCCGTTTCCCAGCCGTTTCTTGAGTTCCCGGAGGATGACTTTGTTGGCTGCTTCAGCATGCCCATTGGTTTGGGGGTGTTCCACCGAGGTCGGGAGATGCTTGATACCGAGCTCTCGGAGGAAGTCCTCGAATCCCTGTGCGATGAACTGTCGGCCGTTATCTGTAATGAGGGTGTGAGGGATTCCGAACCTGCAAATGATATTCTTCCATGTGAATTTTTGCACGTTCTCAGTGGTAATTTTGGCCAGTGGGCATGCTTCAATCCACTTGGTGAAATAATCGATTGCCACCAGGAGGAATTTCAGTTGACCTTTCGCGGGGGGGAATGGTCCAAGAATGTCCATTCCCCACTAGGAGAAGGGCCACGCCGACATCATATGGTGGAGAGCTTCGGGTGGTTGCCGGTGTGTGTCGCTGAACTGCTGGCACTCTTTACATTTTTGAATGTAGCTTTGGCAGTCCGACTTCAGAGTGGGCCAGTAGCACCCAGCTCAGAGTACCCTGGTCACCATTGAGCGCGCCCCGGAATGCATGTCGCATATCCCCTGGTGAATTTCCCTGATGACGTAGGTTGCCTGAGACGCAGTCAAGCATTTGAGTAGTGGAGAGGAAACGCCACGTTTGAATAACTCATCTTCGATGATGATGAACTTAGCCGATCTCATTCTTATCTTCTGAGCATCGTCCTTATCCTCGAGCAAGGTTCCTTCTTTCAAGTAGCTCCAGATGCCTGTCATCTATCCCAGGTCTTCATTGTCACTGACGTTGACTACTCTGTCGTCTAAGCTGGGTGAGTGCAGGGTTTCCTGAATGATGGTTCGGTGTTTTCCAGGCCTTTTGGTGCTGGCAAGCTTTGATAGAGGTCAGCTTGGGCGTTTTGTTCTCGCGGCACATGCTTTATGGTGAATTCGTCGAAGGACGAGATCTGGTGGGATGTAGTGTGAAAGTACCGCTACAGCAGAGTGTCCTTTGCCTGGTATGTCCCATTGAGCTGCTCCACCATGAGTTTTGAGTCGCTGTTGCAACTCACTTTTCGAGCTCTGAGGTCGCGGGCTAGCCTTAGTCTCGCAAGAAGTGCCTCGTACTCCGCCTGGTTGTTGGTCACTTTGAAGCTAAACTTAAGGGATTGCTCCAGAGTGACTCGGTTTGGTCCTTCCAATATGATCCATGCACCACCACCCTTAGAGTTGGAGGATCTGTCAACATGTAAAATCCATACCTGAGGTTCCTCGGCTGTAGTAGACGTGAGCTCGGCTATGAAGTCGGCCAGGCATTGAGCTTTCAGGGGTCCGCGACTTTCGTACTGGATGCCGAACTCAGACAATTCTACTGACCACGCAATCATCCGTCCGACGAGCTCGGGCTTTTGCAAAATTTGCTTGCTGGGGTAGTCAGTTTTGACTACCACATGGTGACTCTAGAAGTAAGGTCAGAGACGCCGAGCTGCGATGACAAGTGCTAGTGCTAGCTTCTCGATCATCTAGTATCGCTTCTCCGCATCTTGGAGGACTCAGCTGATGAAGTAGATTAGTGTCTGCACTTTCTGG